CCGTGATGCTACTGACCAGCTGATCCACTCCAACCACAGCTTCTATTTGCACTAATGTCCATAAACCTTTTCTGCTGGATTAGTAAATTCTTGTATATATTTGTGTTTTTATCTTGTTTTGTTTTTTAATCATATTCATTGTATTTTATTTTATTCTTTTCTTTCTGTAGGTATTTTACTGAATTTGATTTTTTTATTCATTCCCGGGGCGACACCAACAGTCCAAACCAAGTTCCTTGTATGTTGTGTACGGACTTGGCCATTAAAGCTGATTCTGATTCTGATTCTGATTCTGAGCAGGTTGACGTGTAAATGAGCCCAAACACTTGGAGACCGACAGGAACCAAGAACCTGCAGGACCTTCACGTCGTCTCTGCTCTCAGGCTTCACCCACACTGACCTTCATCTTAACACTAACATCTTCTGCTGTGTCTCTTCTGCAGTTTCACTAAAACAACAAGTCATTCTCTGATTCTCAGATCACACGAGCAGAAGAAAAGACGTCTTTGCTCTCAGGCTGCGTTCTGACATCAGTATTACAGGAGGACCAGATGTCGTGCCTCAGTCCGGGTCCGTCTGAGGACAGAATGCTGTCCAGGAGCTCACAGACAGGTTCTGTGTCAGCTGTAACGTCTGCATGAGTCTGGACTGACAGACGTGTTCTCAGCTTCAGGGTTCCATACAAAACAGTTCCAGAGGTGAAAGCTTTGCTGCTATTTTCTACAACTGACCCGCCTCCTGTTCACGGTTACACCTGCAGACCAGGTGAATGTCTTCTCATAGTCCACCATTTTTTATGCGTTATAATGTTTTTGCTGTGTTTTGTCAGCTCAGGTGTTATTGTTGCTCTTCTCTGTGAAGCACCTTGTAACTCGCTGAACTCTGTGGTGTCAATAAAGTTGATTTCCTGCCTCTTTTCCACCACAGGGACACGAGTTGTTGAGTTGTTTTGTGTCAGAACCTGTAAAAACCAGCTGGTGTCATTGTGACTCTCATTAATCTGGTTTTATACTTTAATCGTTGAAGGTGACAAACTCCTGAACCATAAAACTGACACCAGAAGATGAATCAAGAAAACATTTATTTTGTGTTTTAACTCATTTTATGCTCATCAGCTTCATAGGCCACATTTCATTGCAGCTTGTTCTGATCAAACTTGTTATTTCTTTCGTTGTTCAGGATGTTTCCAATAATCCGACATCATAAATATATAAACATAATATATAAAACTGCTTAATCAGCCGGATTTTTCCATCTGCTCTGAAAGGTCAGATTTGTCCAGAATAGATGAATCAGATGAAGGAAGATTTGAAATCAAACACAGCAGCCTCTTTGGTTGACTCCACCACATGTCGCCCCCTGCTGTCCAGCCAATGCCATCTAACCAGACTGGAGTTCCTTCAAGGTCAAGGTTCCTTCACTGATGCTGTGGGCAGATTTACGTATTTATTCATTTTCAAATCAAATCCAGTTTATTGTCATTACCTGTACACACACAGCGTTTCTTCAGGATCATTTAATCAGTACGTTTTGTGGAATGAACGTCTGTGATAGACACTAAACGTTCACTCTCGATGTCTCCTGAAGGGGGCGCTGCGTCCATGCGCGCAGCCATCACCATGGCAACATTTGTTTTCCTTAATCAAAATGCTAAAATATCAGAACAAAACCAGATCCAAAACTCACAGAGCTCCTCCCCCTGCCTCACACTGACCAATCACAGAG